TATATATATATATATATATATATACCAATTTATATAACTATTCAATCACAGTTGAGTCTAATTTATCGTATTTCTGTCTGTTAACATTCTACTAAACTGTGTGCCTGTGTTTGTGTAGGAATTTAACATTCTACTACACTGTGTGCCTGTGTTATTATGTCTAATTTATCCTATTTTTGTCTGTTACCATTCTACTACACTGTGTGCCTGTATCCTATTTCTGTCCATTAACATTCTACTACACTGTTTGTCTGTATGCTATTTTTGTCTGTTAACATTCTACTACACTGTATGCTTGTGTTATTATGTCTAAGTTATCCTATTTCTGTCCGTTAACATTCTACTACATTGTGTACTTGTGTTATTGTGTAGGAATGTTAACATTTTACTACACTGTGTGCCTGTGTTATAATGTCTAATATATACTACTTCTGTTTGTTAACATTCAACTGCACTGTGTGCCTCTGTTATTGTGTAGGAATTTTAACATTCTATTACACTGTGTGCCTGTGTTATTATGTAGGAATGACGCAAGTACAATCTATACGATCTTGCTTGCATTGTTTTTGAAGGATTGATATTAGCCATCCCTAAATTTACTCCCTTTGTTAAAAAGTTTTTCGTTACTTGTAGATATATAGATAATTTGATCAGTAGAAATAGTCCTAAGATAAATAATTTTATTAACACTACTTATCCAGTAGAATTAAAAATTGAATTGAATTCTATTTCTGAAGTAGAAGCACATTATCTAGATGTGGAAATGTCTTCAGTGGCACAGTGGTATGTCTGCGGACTTATACCGCTAGAAACCGGGTTTCGTTACCTGTGGTGGGCAAAGCACAGAGAGCTCTTTGTGCAGCTTTGTGCTTAGTATCAAACAACAACAACACGTGAAAATTAAAATAATTAATCATAATATTAATTCAGATGCTTTTGATGAAAAAAAAATTATTTTCAAATACACGGCTTACCCTCTCCTTATAGTAATATGACATATTTTTCTGTTACAAGTATTTTAACTTCACAACTGCTCAAATTAATGTTGAAATATTGATGCAAAAATTAATATTTAATGGATTTAAGAAGAAAAAACTTAAATAAAATTATTAAATATTTTATGATAAATACAAAAATGTATTATGTAAATATAGAGAAATAAAAACTAAAAATATTTGCTTGAAATGTCCGATAAATATTTTAGCCTTTAATAAGGTATGTATTTTAAAGTTGTCGTCTTCACATTATGAATGTATAATCTCTCCCAAAAACTGTATTTAAGCACACAAACTTACTTTTGTATAGAAATTGTTCTTATGCAGAATCAAACATATATAAATCACAACAGCTAAAATCTTATATCGACACTTTTATGTTATTTTCAGTTCAAGAATAATAGTCAATAAAGTTTCAAAGCTTCAAAGAAATTTTAGAATATTTTTTTCGACATTTAGCTTCAAGAAAACTGAAAGAAAATGTCAAGTGTGTAATTATGTTTCTCACACTCTGTTAAAAAAATTGTATTTAAAACGAATGATCATACAACTCCTGTAATAAGGTTCATACAAAACTGTCGTAGAGGGACAAGTTATACAGGATACTGTGCACAACAATGTAATGTATGTTGAGCGTTCTTTCCACAGAGCCAACCAGAGTAAATGAGAATCTGTGAATACGTTAATAGGTGAAAAATTATTTCGTTTTCCTGACTTAAGTAGCGTGTTCATTAAAGTTAAACCCTTTCATTAAGATGCTATTACGTATGGATATTAAGTATAATACACACATACATATATATATATATATATATATTTGTAATGTGATAAATAGTTTCTTCCTTTGTTGTTGAGCACAAAGCTATACAACGAGATATCTGGGTTGTTCCCACTGCAGAGATATAACCCCAATTGTTAGCGCTATAGCCACTGAACTATAGGGGGAGGGAGTAGGTGATGAATAAATGTGTTCAAAATAATCTTCTTTATTTATTAATAACTTACTGATATTAAATTAAGTTGCAATTTATTTTTCCTGTATTAAGAGGATACATTTAATAAAATGGTTACGTTGGCACGAAATAATGTTACTGTACCTTATGGTAGTTGCCTAGAGAGACACGCAGAACAGGGTCTTGTTAAAACAATGGCAGGTGTACTTTCGTTACCGGTTTATATATTATGCTGGATCATATTGTTATTACGTTAGGTTTTAATAATATATCTGTGTTTTCTAACTTTAATATATATTGTCATTTTATCAATGTTTTGTCTTAGGATTTATGTCTTTTAGTTGTAGAAGAACTAACACTATATCGTTGATGGAAATGTCATTCCAATAGAATTAGGTTAAAGTTCGTTTAAACAGCAGTAGGAAAATATTCTAACCAAATAAAACAACCTGGGCCTGCTGTTTGTACAAAATTTATCTGTCAGTCTGCGTCACAATGGTTAACACTCAACTCCATGGTTTGGTCCTTCAACTGGCGGCAGGAGTGCAAAGGAACGCCGACGAGAGAGGGCTCTGTCGATGATGGTCATTCACCGGTTGCCATAGTTGTAGAGGATGAAGGGAGTTTGTGCATCACATATTTGATTCTTCAAACCACAACTAGTAAACCTGTTAAGATTAAACCAGTAGAATGCTAGATAAAAGGTACAGTCGTCAGTTATTGTTTTACATCTTCAACGCCACTTGTTTAACAAAGGTAAGAATAGTTATTGTTTGTAGATTTGCAAAGTGAGTCGACTATCATTCTACACCATTCACTGTAGTATTTACACGTTCCAGCCTCGATCGATTTAACTTCGCTACAAATCCTTCCTTCGTCAAGTTTCTAATAGTTCACCGGTTAGTAGAACAGTTCAGAATTACTCAGTTTATATAAATACATTGCCAGCCTAGTCTTTGAAGAGTGAAACATTAAGTTGGTTTTTTTTTGTCGCTTTATTTGACGTTAACAGCTCTTAGACGTTTCGAAAACGACAAAATACCTACTCTTCTCAAACAATGCTAAGTTATTTGAAGACGTGTAACATTAAGTTGGTTTTTCGTCGCATTATTTGACGTTAACAACTCTTAGACATTTCAAAATGACAAAATACATACTGAAATGTCTAAGAGTTGTTAACGTCAAATAAAGCGACGAAAAAACCAACTTAATGTTACACGTCTTCAAATAACTTAGCATTGTTTGAGAAGAGATTGACAAAATACCTACACTTCTTAAACAATGCTAAGTTATTTCTTTTGCTTTCAAAAACAGCATGAAATCTGTGAAAGTATCTTGTACAACTAATAAAATCTCAACCAACAAACTGCTGCTAAGCTTTTATTAGTCACACAAAGTAATTTTTGCTCTCAGCTTGTTAGCAAGGTTGTTAATCAACTGTTTCAATGCTGTTCTTGTATTTAAAAGAAAATATGATACAACATCATTGTGATTAATTATAATAATTACATGTTATATTTAGTTCAAAGTTATCTAGGCATAAATTATGTCTATGGGCGAAACGTGTAAGAACTACCATACGATGTTACATATTGTCTTAAATTCTGTCTCGTTGTTTCAAAATCTTAACATTCTAATGACTGTGCTGTCTTAGTACTGTGTCTTAATGAACATCACCGTTTTTATTTTATTTATCAAACTATGAATTAATCTTTTTTTTCACATTCTTTTTATCTTTAATCACGAGCATGTCGCTGACTTTATCTGACAAACATTGCGTGAATGAAATGATTGACTCCACGTTTAAGAGAATGTCTGGCATATTCAGAATGACCGTTCACAGCGTTCCTAAGAGAATGATTTGTTTGTTTGTAGTTAAGCACAAAGCTACACAATGGGTTATCTGTGCTGAGCCCACTACGAGTATCGAAACCCGGTTTTTAGCGTTGTAAGTCCGCAGACATACCGCTGATTCACAAGTGGACTTTTAGAGAATGGAAATGTGGCACTTGTTTACGTTCAACAAACAGCTTGAAGTAGGTTTTTATATACCTAATTTAAATGTAGTGTACTTGGTCATTAATTAGATGTACTTACATACGTTTTAATATACACATTTTATTTTTTGTTTCAATGCCTGTTAGTATTTCCTGTCTTATAACTTAGGTTATGTGTCATAAGAAAATGTCGATTGTAGTATTAAAGCTATTGAAATGAATTATTTTCTTGACTTAGAAACACCGCAAAATCTTAAAGTTACAATCCAGCAGACTTCTATCATTATATGTAATCCTCAATTAGCCTGTGGCATGCCAACATCTTTTGAGGTGTGTGTGCACTGTCTACACTCCTCTAGACCTAGGTAACTCGTATCTGTTCACGATAGTAGTCCTATTTAATTACCTACGTATGACACAAGGAAGTTGTTTGCACGCTTGGGTAGATATCATTATGAGTTAGTCTTAGCATCATTATCCTTGACCACAAATGGCAGAGAAGAAAAGGCACAAAAGATATAGATCTTATGAACATATAAAATATATAAAGATCTTATGAGGATATAGAATTATGGATCTAATAAAGAGAGAGAGAGAGGAAAGATGCCAAGTGAAATGTTGAGGTACAGTGACAAATTTTGGTTGTTGTTTACCCATCAGATGACCACTTTTCATATTCTTGATGTTGTGGTAAAGTAATGATTTTCTGTTAAGATAATAATGATTGAGCTACAGATCACTTACTAATAAAAGGACATTATAGCTTTTAAACGGAAGTAAATCGTTAAAGATCATTTGTTTTATAGTATAATAGAACTACATAAAATTTCTTTGATGTACTGATAATTGGACGTAATTGTAATTTGTGTTTGTTTATAAGCACAAAGCTACATCAACGGGCTTTCAGCGCTGTGCCCACTGCGAGTATATATCCCAAATGTTTAGAGTTACAAGCCTCAAGGCTTACCGCTGAATCACCGGTAGGAGGCGATGGGGCGGAATCATTTTCCAAACTTATACAACTCCTAGTCTCAGGCTAGTTTATTGTTAAGCACAAAATTGAGCAGTTTGCAATCTATGCTGAGATCATAACAGGAATTGAGCCTCAAATTATAATATTATTAGCCCTATAATTACCACTGGGATATCATGGGAGCATTTTAATGTGACGGTCAATCCTACTATTCATTGTTAGCGGTAGGTGGTGATGACTAGCTGTCTTCCCTCTAGTCTTTCACTGCTAAATTACAGACGGCTAACGCAGATAGCACTCGTGTAGCTTTGGGCGAAATTCTAAACAAACCAATTAATACTCACGTAGTTCAAAAGGTGTGAAGCTGGAAACATTACAGATACTCTCTCTTTTTTATATTTATATAACCTTTCATATTCATAATTTGTTGTATGTGATTAGGCATACGAAAAACAAAATAGACGACAGCTTCTGATGACCAAAATAAACGTCAGTATTGATCGTCAGGAACAACTAGCGATGAGCAAAATAAACGTCAGTATTTATAGTTAGGAACAGATCCTGATGACCAAAATAAACGTCAGTATTTATAGTTAGGAACAGCTCCTGATGACCAAAATAAACGTCAGTATTGATCGTCAGGAACAACTAGCGATGAGCAAAATAAACGTCAGTATTTATAGTTAGGAACAGCTCCTGATGACCAAAACAAACGTCAGTATTGATCGTCAGGAACAGCCTCTGATGACCAAAATAAACGTCAGTATTGATAGTTAGGAACAGCTTCTGATGACCAAATTAAACGCCAGTATTGATTGTCAGGAACAGCTCTTGATGACCAAAATAAACGCCAGTATTGATTGTCAGGAACAGCTTCTGATTACCAAAATCAACGTCAGTATTGATAGTTAGGAACAGCTCCTGATGACCAAAATAAACACCAGTATTGATCGTCAGGAACAGCTTCTGATGACCAAAATAAACGCCAGTATTGATAGTTAGAAACAGCTCCTGATGACCAAAATAAACGCCAGTATTGATAGTTAGGAACATTTCCTGGTGACTAAAATAAACGTCAGTATTGATAGTTAGGAACAGCTCCTGATGACCAAAATAAACGCCAGTATTGATCGTCAGGAACAGCTTCGGATGACCAAAATAAACGTCAGTATTTGATAGTTAGGAACAGCTTCTGATGACCAAAATAAACGCCAGTATTGATTGTCAGGAACAGCTCCTGATGACGAAAATAAACGCCAGTATTGATAGTTAGAAACAGATCCTGATGACCAAAATAAACGCCAGTATTGATAGTTAAGAACATTTCCTGGTGAACAAAATAAACGTCAGTATTGATAGTTAGGAACAGCTCCTGATGACCAAAATAAACGCCAGTATTGATCGTCAAGAACAGCTTCTGATGACCAATATAAACGTCAGTAGGGATAGTTAGGAACAGCTTCTGATGACCAAAATAAACGCCAGTATTGATTGTCAGGAACAGCTCCTGATGACGAAAATAAACGCCAGTATTGATAGTTAGAAACAACTCCCGATGACCAAAATAAACGCCAGTATTGATAGTTAGGAACATTTCCTGGTGACCAAAATAAACGTCAGTATTGATAGTTAGGAACAGCTCCTGATGACCAAAATAAACGTCAGTATTGATTGTTAGGAACAGCTCCTGATGACCAAAATAAACGCCAGTATTGATAGTTAGGAACAGCTCCTGATGACCAAAATAAACGCCAGTATCGATCGTCAGGAACAGCTTCTGATGACCAATATAAACGTCAGTATTGATAGTTAGGAACAGCTCCTGATGACCAAAATAAACGCCAGTATCGATCGTTAGGAACAGCTCCTGATGACCAAAATAAACGCCAGTATCGATCGTCAGGAACAGCTTCCCA